TTTAAAAGCATTGCCTTCAATTGTTTTGTTTTAACTTGGTTTGTTCTTTTTCTTTAAAAGCATTGCCTTCAATTGTTTTGTTTTAACTTGGTTTGATCACATCAGCCCTATCAAGGTTCTTTCCTGATATTACCAATTCTTTTCATGTCGTTTAATACATACATTACATTGCTATAGTAGAGTCTGGTTGTAATATTAACTTTTCTCAGCCAGTTTTTATATCCCTAGGGTCAAATCATGTGACCCATAGTATTATGTAGCCCAGTAAATATCTAATAAAACTGTATTCGTTTTCTTTTTTATTTTATTTATTTATTTATTTTTTTGAGACAGAGTCTCGCTCTGTTGCCCAGGCTGGAGTGCAGTGGCGTGATCTTGGCTCATTGCAACCTCCACCTCCCTGGTTCAAGCAATTCCCCTGCCTCAGCCTCTCAAGTAGCTGGGATTACAGGTGTGTGCCACCACACTCAGCTGATTTTTTGTGTGTTTTTAGTAAAGGCGGGGTTTCACCATGTTGGCCAGACTGGTCTTGAACTCCTGACCTCAGGCAGTCCACCCGCCTCAGCCTCCCAAAGTGCTGGGATTACAGGCATGAGCCACCACACCTGGGCTCTTTTTTCTTTTTTGGAGACGGAGTTTTGCTCTGTCACCCAGGCTGGAGTGCAGTGGTGCGATCTTGGCTGACTGTAATCTCCGCCCCCCGGGTTCAAGCGATTTTTGTGCTTCAATCTCCTGAATAGCTGAGATTACAGGCTTGCACCACCACCACGCCCTGCTAATTTTGTATTTTTCGTAGAGATGGGGGTTTCACCCTGTTGGTGAGGCTGGTCTTGAACTCCTGACCTCAGGTGATCCACCCACCTTGGCCTCCCAAAGTGCTGGGATTACAGGTATGAGCCACCGTGCCCAGCCAAAACTGTATTAGTTTTCTATTGCCACATAACAAATTATCACAAACTTAGTGGCTTAAAACAATATGCATTTCTTATCTCACAGTGTCCATGGATCAGAAATCTGGACACAGCTTAACTGGATCCTTTGCCTAGGGTCTCACAAGGTTTCAGTTGAGGTGTTGGCCAGGCCATAGTCTCATCTGAGGCTTGGGACACTCTCCCTAGCTCATTTGGGTGGTTGTTGGCAGACTAAATTTCATTACAGCTGTGGGACTCATGTGGCTTTTTTCTTGGCAGGAGAGTATCTCTTTTTCAGGGCTCAACTGATTAGAGCAAGCCTACTCTGGACAATCTCCTTTTGACTAACTCAAAAGTCAGTCAATTAGGGGCCTTTATTATATTCTCAGAATCCTTTCACCTTTTCCATTTCATATAACATAATCACAAGAGTGACAGACAAACATATTCAGAGGTATTGCCCATACTTAAGGGGGAGGAATTTGATAGGGTTTGTACCAGCAGGCTGGGAATTTTGGAAGCCACGTTAGATTTCTGCCCACCACAGTAACATAGACTGACTTAGGAGACTGTGAATGTGGCCTTCAAAGTCTGTATTTTTTAAGATATTGTAGTACATTCCAAATCCATACATTGGAAATAGTAACAACCTAAACAATAAAGTATTAAGCTGCTGGGACTCTTTTTAAGGCTGTGATGTCAATCCTCTAAGTCATCTATATTTTCAGGATGAAACTACTATTTTGATTAAAATTTCTTCTCTCTATTATTGCCCTAATAGATTTTAAATTGAATTGGCAGAAGAGGTGGATTTCAAATTAAATTCCATTTGGGTAAATAAAAAAGCAGTTAATCATTTCAGCATTTTCCTCTTTATTATTTTCATGAGTGGAGATTTTATTCGTTCCACATACTTTGCTGTAACTTTCTTGAAATGTGCCATATTTTTTCATATCCTAGTATTGTTAGGGTTGAATTCATATGTTATCATAGCAAGTGACCCATAGTTTGGGAGTTCTTTTTCTTTGCCTTGGATGTATGATACTTTGAAAATAAGCTGTTACTGAAAATAAAGGACTATAATTAAATACAACAGTGAATGGAATGCCAATTCAAACAATATCAAGAAACACTTCTAAAGGGAGTGTTCTGTTGATTTTAAAAGGGTCTTCTAAAAGTAAGATTGGCCATTTTAAGTAGCCTGAATAAAACATTATTAAATACACTGTAGGGTATATCCTGCTTTTGTGAGAAATGTACTAACTGACGTGATTCTTCTTCCAAATATAAGAACTAGACCTGCTTTTTGACTTGGAGAAAGGAAGGGCATTGCATTTTTACTAGAGTGTAGGTTAATCATGAGCTTCTAATCATGGTGATGATTTAAATGATTGTAAAAAGATTAGAAAGCCTCAGATCCTACTAAATAAGGATATTTATACTCACTCTCCTTTATTCCATTATGAAAGGAATGCTTATGGTTATGGAGAACTTTTGTATAGTCTTATCTTTGAATCATTTTACTACTCCTACCCCTCAAATCTACTCTGACATTGCCTTCAATTAGACAACTGAGTTTTTAGCAGTCTGCCTTCAGCTCCTTTTCAACCATACTGGGATTGTACTACTCAATAGAAGGAGATAATGTTATTAACTCAGCTCATCAGGATGCACATGTAACATTTAAGTGAGTTATCAATGGACAGTACCCCACATTGGAAAGGAAAAGATCTGAGGTTTTTTGAGATCAAACAAGCATTTTAAGAAATGGTGGAGTTGGGTGCGGAGGCTCATGCCTGTCATCCAAGCACTTTGAGAGGCTGAGATGGGCAGATTGCTTTAGGCCAGGGGTTCAAGTTCAGCCTGGGAAAAAAGTAAGACCCCATCTTTATGTTAAAAAAAATTTTTATTAAAAAAAAGGAATGCTGTACATTATTAACAAAAACCAAGAAAAGGAAGCAAACTTAGTGTCCAGCAATGGGTGAATGGATAAAGAAAATGTAGTATATATACACAATGGAATATTATTCAGCCATAAAAATGAAGTCTTGTTATTTGTGACAACATGGATGAAACTGGAGGATATTATGCTAAGTGAAATAAGCCAGGCACGGAAAGACAAATATGAGTTTGACTTTTGAGATCATGCATGATCTCACATATATATGGAATCTAAAAAAGCCAAACTCATAAAAACAGAGAGTGTAGAATGGTGGTTGTCAGAGGCTTAGGGGCGGGGTGGAATTGGGAGATATTGGTCAAAGGATACAAAACTTCAGTTAGACAGGAGGAGTAAGTTCAAGAGATCAATCATACAAATATGGTGACTATAGTTAATAATAATGTCCTGTATACTTGAAAATTGCTGACAATAGATTTTGTGTTCCCACTATATAAAAATAAGCATGTGAGGTAATGCATATGTCAATTCACTTGATTTATAAAATATGTACACATTCTATAGTATATACGTATTTCAAAACATCATGTTGTATACCATAAACATATACAATTTTTATTATTAATTTAAAAAAGTAAAAACTGAAAGTGGTCGCTCAAGCCTGTAATCTCAGCTACTTCGCTGAGGCAGGGGATCACTTGATTCCAGGAGTTCAAGACCAGCCCGGGCAACATCATGAGATACTGTGCCAAAAATAACCCAAGCAAACAAACTTAAGAAAAGAAAAAAGAAGAGCTGCATACTGTTGCTTTGTCCCAGAGATACACAGTGCATATTAGCATATAAAGCCTCTGAGAAGTTCTGTAGTAAACACATCTGATGAACTTGGTTTAACCAAATACCCTATATCTCCTTTGACCACAGAATCTATTTTAACTATAATACTGTCTGGAATTAGCAATCCATAAAAAGTCCTTTGGAAAATAATGCTATAATTGAAATTACCCAAATCTCCCTTAAATCCAGATTTTCTAGTCTTTCTAAGCTATGTGAACTTCTAGAACTATACTTGCTCTGAGCCAGAAGACCAAGCAATTATATTTTCATTAAAATTTTTTATCTCTAGACATTCATTTGCATGTCCAAGGGTCCAAAACTTCAGTCAAAGATGGTCTGCAATGCTTCATTCTTTTGAACATAATTATATTCAGTGTTTGTAAACTTGGCGTCACCATTTTTCTTCTCAACACTTTGCTCATTAATTGCCTTTTATTTATTTTTTTCCAGGGGAACACTATTTAATCTCTTGGTAATTTTAATTAGTGAGCCTCAGATTCCAAAATCTTGTCCTGTGTTTGATATCCAGTTGGTGGCTGATTCAGCTTTAGTCAGAATGTCTTTTGATGCTAAGGTGAGATGAGAATTTTCGAGGTAAACTATTATATATTGGGGCCCTGGCTTCTTTTAATGTGGACCATGACACCGTAGAAACAGAAATATAATTAAACCAAAGAGTAGATCTTTTGTCATTAACCTCAAAACTTAGAAAACTATTCCGTCTAAAGTAGATTTAGAGATTTAGAGAGTCAAGAAAAAGGAAAAAATAACTATTCAGTCAATATTAATATATCCATTTTATATGTCTTAAGGTATGTATATTAAGGAAAGTAATCAGCATTCCTTATAAATTTGATAAATCTATATCTGTCTCTGTACAAAATATGATGTATATGTAATTCCATAGCAGGGGTCTAATAGGTTAAAAATCACTGTCTTAGAGATTTTAAGGTTAACTCTCATACTTTACCATTTTCCCACCTATATGAACAGTATAAATTCTCAGAAAGAGTTACTTATTTTTCTAAGGTTGTACCAAAACATTAGAAATATCAAACTGCCTAGAAGGTACACCTTCTGAGAGAATAAACCAACTTATTATTAGTTTATTTTGAGCCAAGCTAACAGATGTTTTTAAAAAAGATGGAACATGATTTGATAGTTCTTAAATATATGCTCAGAATTATGTTTTAAAAAACTCATTTAGTCATTCAGTAATTTTTTTTTTTTTTTTTTTGAGAAAAGGTTTCACTCTGTTGCCCAGGCTGGAGTGCAGTGGCACAATCTCGGTTCACTGCAGACTTGACCTCCCAGGCTCAAGTGATGCTCTCACCTCAGACTCCCGAGTAGCTAGGACTACAAGCACGAGCCACCACACCTGGCTAATTTTTGTATTTTTTGTAGAGACGGGGTCTTGCCATGTTACCCAGGTTGGTTTCAAATCCCTGGGCTCTAGCGATCTGCCTGCCTCGGCCTCTCAAAAGGCTACAGGCATGAGCCACCACATCCAGCCACAATCAGTAAATATTTACTGAGCATCTGTTATGAGCAAGCAACGTGCTAGGCAGTAGGGTCAAAACAGTAAGCAAAACAGACATGACCCCTGCCTTCATTAGTTTCTACTCTGCTGGGAGAGACAGACGTTATTCAAATATATCCATGAATATGTAATTACAGACTCCATACAGAGAGTCTCCAACATCACTTTCAGTGGTGGATTAGGGATTAAAGAATGGGGTGGAACTAAGACTCAGATAGGCAGGGCTATTAAGGAGCTAGTGCCGTAATCTAGGTAAGGAATGATATGGGCCAGAGGGAAGCATTCCTTGATCCCCAAATGAGACTAATCCTCCTTTATAGAGCTCCCTTAACTTCCTGTACATTTCTTTCATAGCCCTTGTCTCAGTTTATAATTATGCATTTGCTTATTTGATCATTTGATGTTTGTTCCCCAACTAGACTGTATGTTCCATGAGGGCAGGTCTCATGTCTGTGTTGTTCTCCCTTGCATCCTCAACACCTAGCACGGTGTCTGATGCATATTTGTTGAATAAATAAATGAAGAAAAGAAGAAAAGGGATAGTTTTGTAAAGAGGAGTTTGGAATTCTTGAGAGGAATGAAATATCTCTAAGTCTTCTATTTATCCATCCCACGGAATCTTAGTTTAATTTGGGCATAAGCCTAAATTCCCCAGAGAGTCTCTCACCTCAACTCTGGGGGGCGTATTTCTACATTCTTGAAAGGAAGTAGGGTTGTTGATCTGATTGATTTTGCAAATCAAGTATGCAATTTTTTGTAGTAGTATTCTGTGGGCCAACCAGGGATAATGGCTTGCCTTTGAATCCCAGCTACTCAGGAGGCAGAGGTGGGAGAGTCGCTTGAGGCCAAGAGTTCCATACCAGCCTGGGCAACAAGCGAGACCCTGTCTCTACAAAAATAAAAAATCAAAAATTGCCTGGGTGTGGTGGCACATACCTGTAGTCCTAGCTACTGGGGAGACTGAGGTGAAAGGACTGGTTGAGTTCAGGAATTTGAGACCAGCCTGGGCAATATAGTGAGACCTCATCTCTACAAAAAATTAAAAACATAAAATTAGCCAGCATGGTAGCTTGTGCCTATAGTCCCAGCTACACAGAAAGCGGAGGTGAGAGGAATGGCTTGTGCCCAGGAGTTGGAGGCTGCACAGAGCCATGACCACAGCACTGCCATCTGGGTGACAGCATGAGACCTTGTTTCAAAAAAAAGAAAAAAAAATTGTATAAGTACCTAAAGGGAACCAAGGGAAATTACCATTTTCTGACTTGGTTTATGACATTGCATTGATTATTCTTGAAAATTCTAGTTACAGAAGCTTATTCTGGAGTATACAAATACCGCTACAGCACTTTTATATGAGATACTTCTTGTCTTTCAGCAGGTACAATTTTTAAAAATTATATTTTAAAATATTTTATGTAACCATAAATTATGTGACTATTATATGATATATGTATATTATGCAATTATGTTATATGATTAATAATATACCAAAAATGCTTGTATTTGAGATGGTCCCCAAAACTGGTTGACTTCAATGATATGACCTTTGCTCTTAAGTGCTCATCTAGTTTATTTTCCAAAACTGATTTTAAAGATTCGATTAATCAGGATAAAAACGTATTTAAGAATGAGTATCCTTTTATATACAACTTGAACTTTATGAATATAACTTGTTTATTTCCTTGAGTCTTTTAGGGAAATCTCGGATTGGGATCCACAAAGTTTGCTATTAGCTGGATGATGTCCTTTCTACAAAGCTGTCCTCCCATCGTAAGTATCTAGAAGTCAAAACGAAATCACTCCTCAAGCCTAATTAAGCAGATACTCTTGTGCTTAATTAATAAAACACACATTTTTCCCTGTGATGTAATCAAGTTTATCAACCAGAAGCAAAATGTAAATTTGACAGTTTATTATTTAACTGATAAATTGTTTTTACATTTGGGACCTGAATGTTTAAGGCACTGAAATTATATCTTAAATGGGAACGTTATTTCATGAAAAACTCTAAGATATATGTGGAAAACAGAATATTAAATTATTAGCTGTATAATTAGGTAAAAAGATAAATACTTACCTTAAATAGTGAGCGTGAATCTAACACTTGGGATCACTTGTGTGCTCTGTCCCACAGACACCATCCTAGTTCCTATTATCACCATTTCTTTCCCTGATACTACAATCACATCTCAATGGTCTGTCCCTGTCTTCCCACCAGATTACAGGCTGAGGGATCCATCTGAAATAAAAATCTGATTGTCATCCCTTGCTTCAAATCGCTCAATAACTCTTCCTTCTGAATAAAGACTAAACTCCTTAACATGGCCTACAGGGCCTGCGTGCTATGGCCGACAGCCTCCTCTGGTCCCTCAGCCTCCCTGCTGTGTGGGTCTCTTGCTCACCATCTCTCTCCCCACCACTGCCCAGCTCCCCCCAGCTGCATCACAGGACCTGTACCATTGCATCTGTCTCTCCATTGGAAATGCTTTTCCCTCCCTTTTTCACCTGGTCAACTTCTACTCATCCCTCAGGCCTCAGGGCCCCTTCCTGGGGTGGGGCAGTGGAGGCTGCTTCTCTGTCCCCCTTGACAGGGGAGATTCCCTCATTAGAGGCACAAATAGTGCGTGGCATGGTGTCCTCTTCCTCTGCTTTATAGGTCTCGTCACTGTTGCAGTTTACATTTGTTTGTGTTATTATTTGCTTCTGCCGTGTCACAGCCATTAGCGCCCACTCATATTCTGTCTCTCTCTCCTTCTGGGCACATGGTGGGACTGCATTTCCCTCTTCATGTGAAATCGGGGGGTGGGGGCGGTCTCTGTTGCTGCTTTGGCTAATGAAATGTGAGCAGAACTGGCTTCTGTCACTTCTGGGCAGAAGCTTTAAGAGCCAGTGTGTGCCACCTGGCATTCTCTTTTCCTTTGGCATAGCACCCACAAGGTGGCTGCTTTGCCCACTGATGGTCAAGAGTAACTACAGTGAGCAGAGCCCTGCAGACCCCTCTGGGACTGAGTCATCAACCTTTGCTGTTTCAAGCAAAGCGTTGGTCTTTTGGGAGGTTTGTTACCACAGCATAATCTAGTCCATCATGACTGATACACTCTCTTTCTCTTCCAACAGACTGCCAGTGCTGTGAGGGTAAAAGCTCTGTCTGTTGTGCTAGGCACACCATAAATGTTCAGTAAAATATCTGCTGAATTAATTCTAGTAAAGGCTTTATCCCTTAATCTCTTCTTACCTCCTCAAACTTACGCACTCAGTCAACAAACACTTAATTGGAAATCTCTTCAAAAGAGTAATCTAAACTAAATTTCCATTGCTAATGGGCACGAGGCAATATGTTCTCTTTTTTTTTTTGAGACAGAGTCTCGCTCTGTTGCCCAGGCTGGAGTGCAGTAGTGCAGCGATCTCAGCTCACTGCAACCTCCACCTCCCAGATTCAAGCAATTCTCCTGCCTCAGCCTCCCAAGTAGCTGGGATTACAGGCGCCTGCCACCATGCCTGGCTAAGTTTTGTATTTTTTAGTACAGACGGGGTTTCACCATGTTGCCCAGGCTGGTCTGGAACTCCTGACCTCAGGTGATCACCCACCTTGGCCTCCCAAATTGCTATTACAGGCATGAGCCACTGCGCCCGGCCTGTTCTCTTTCCGTATATGGACATGCATCTGTTGGACCGTCAGTGGTCCCCTGCCGTTTCTCTAGAGTGATGTTGGGTCTGTCCTACGGGATCTAGACTCTCTTGTCAGATCCTTATGACATATGTTTACACAAAGCTGGCTGGGGTCAGAGGGTACATTTGTCAGTAGAACAGCCAGCTGCCTTCTATGGAGGTTGAGCCCATGAACTTGTCTTCCTCAGTAGCACACAGGCCCCAAC